AAATTAGGATATATCACCTTCAACTTGTCCTGATCACAATAAATTTCTTATAATATTGATATTTAGCATCTCAAAGGTCCTATAAGCTATCAGGGTCGTAATTAAGGAGAGGTGACCTTGGTTTTGAATTGACCTTGAGGCTAGCCACACCTATGTACCATCCGCAAATGGTAGGTTAATCCCGCAATGATACCAACTCAAATTATTCAATTTTTCAATTACGCTGTCAAAAATGCACTTCATTATCTCATTCTTCTGTTCTTCCATCGACTTTTATACTTTATATCCATTATGTCACATCATCTTCTCTCTTTCTCACCTTCCTGTACTTTTTTAATATTCAGCAAATATTTACCCATTTGCTCAAGGAATGAGTTAACAAAACTACACAAAAAAAGATATTTTTATTCCATATTTGCACTTGAGCTATGCTTAATTTTTCATCAATTTTTAAAGGTCATAAAAATTCATCCGAGACTAACAATATTTTGTATATTTTGGCTCGACTAATTAGGAGCTGGTCAGACAAATAGATTAATCAACACATGTATTATCTTGCTAATTACAATTATGCTTTCAATCATCACATTTTCAATTTTTTTCTGCTCTTGATTCTTCTTTTTTTTATGCCGGTAAGAAACAAACTTTGTGGAAATAAAAATCTCACATAAAAAAACAAAAATAACAAAAATATCGCACGCAACGGATTGGCAGTTTCACGTCTAGCACGTTAAGAATTCACTTGCAAACTGAAAGTAAGACTCGGCTTTGGTCTCTCGCTCAGTTCATTTGGATGTGAAAAAAAAAATAAAAAAAAAAATATTTCCTTTCGTTTGTATTATTTACACTAATAAATACAAGAATTTGCGGCATGGTATCAGCGATATAGCTTCGTATGTATAGTAAACACAAAAATTCTCTCGCGTCTCTCCAAAATAAATAGTTTAATGGTGAGTATAGACGCATTCACTAAGACATAAGAGCCGGAAAATAACACTTGGGTTTGTTTTTAAAAAAAGTCCAAAATATTGAGTATTTATAGCCTCTAATTGAGCATCTTTTAGGACATGATTAATTAATGAATCGAAGAAGAAACATTTCATGGTCTAGTGACTCAATAATTGCTTGCTGCTTAGTTGTTTAAAATTGATATGCATAAAGTCAACATTGAAATTCCTGAGACTTTCCTGTGCATTTAATGACATCATTTGAAAACTATCACAGCTTAAAATCGACTAGCTTGATTAGCGTTGGAATTTTTCTCACAAATATCCTCGATTAAAATTATTATTTCGCATTACTTTCACAATTGCAATGTCACGAAGCATCAAGCCTGAGCCAGAAGTTATTGTTGAACGAATGACATCATAACATAACACAGACGATGCTTATTGTGTAATAAACAAGTCGCGTATGTCACTTTAAAATGAATGAATGACGATATTGAGCGAGAATGTATATTAAGTCCACTACAGTGTTGCTCGAGAGAGGAAAGAGCACACAAAAAAAAAGTTGATGAGAATAACTTTTTTTTATTACTCAACAAAAAATACTCAGTGGATGCTTCTTATAAGCACTAATGTTATTACTCATTAATTGAATGATCACAACCGATTACTAATTTTAAATGAAGATGGTTAATGTAGACACTAATTCATACAGAACAACTGGGAACAATGTCTATTCAAGTTCTTAATATATCATGAACATGTGTAAATGCCTGATTAGTTTAAAAGGCTGTGAACGATGAAGATGGGCGGTATTTAATGGTAGATTGGACATAATGATAAATCGATGCAAGAAGCTACGAAATGAAAGTTCAGAACTGATAATGTAGGAGGAATGGAGCTTTTTGAGATTTGAAAATACAGTTATGCTTTTAATTGAGGTTCTGTTGAGTTCAGGGGCGTATTAAAAGCTATTTCTGAAATTTTGGAATTTTTATGTCTTGAAAAAATTTGTGCAATTTTCTAAATTTTGGAAATTGTAGATTTAACCTTTTAGATACGAAAATGCTTTCATTTATGACATATTTAATAAATTGCTAAGTCCTCGACTCTTTAAAATCCTTGAATTGCAATGATTAAATCATTAAGAATTTCATTTATTCTCAGAACGGCAACAAAGATTTTTTTTATAGAATTTAATTCCTACACATTGACAACATCCGATAAATTTGTAAGAAAAATCATCTAAACCCGAGGAGCACACCACTATATGTGTCTTTTAAGAATCAAACTCACTACTTCACGAAAGATAGTCTAATGACTAACCACTAGATCGAAGAGTTTTTTCTATCACATTAACAAATTCATGTACATATGGATTAATGCCACAGAATTGATTTAGTAGAATCACGATTCAGTGGTGATCTCAAAAAATATGCGCAATAGCCAATTACTCTTCAAAAAATTTGTAAACTTTATCTTCATTTCCCGCTCTTATTATTGACTAAAATTGATGGCATTTGAAGAGCAAAAGTGAAACGGAAACATTTTGTTTTAAAAGATTTATTTTTTGTGATGATTTAAATTGCTACTGTCGTATAATTAAGGCACGAATTTTGAATAAAGTGTGTTATTTGATGAGTTGTATAAATAGAGTTCACGTATTTTTTGAGATTTGGCTTTGATCTTTTAGCAAAGCTCAGATAAATTTGTAAACCTTTTTTTTTTCAATATCTTCGGTAGTGTGTCAACCTTGTCTTATAGCGCCATGAGATAATTCTTTTGAGGCATGATTTAGATTAAATTAGGCTTTTATGATTAATGACGATGTTGGATTGTGTTGGAATTTTGATTAGATTAATTTGCTATAAATAAATTTGATAATGAACATTTTGGATCTATAATCTTACTGTTCGTCTTTTTAAAATTCACGATTTAATCAAAGTTGCTTATTTTTTCAGATCAAACCTCAGTTCCGACAAAAAAAATCAATTGAACCAATTTTTATAATCTAATCTGGATTACTCTAACTCGATTAATCAATATCTATCCTTATCTTAATTTTACTCATCAAAGTGAATTTTATTGCATTAGAATGGCATTTCCAACTGCTATTAAATTTACTTTTTGATAAAAACATTTCGATTAATATTTGTTATGGTCGATCAGAGTTAATCTAATTGATAACAAGATTAATTGATTGTAGTATAGTTGATATGAAACTTTTATAACATTTTCTATTAACAAACAATCGATGTCTTTGAATAAAAGTCCTATGACGTTATAGAAAAATCGATAAAATGTAGAAAAATTTATCAACAAAAATTTCTTCTTATCATTGTTCGTGTGTGAAATGCGTAGAATAAGCTTAATGTTATAACAAGTGATATAAAAACTATAAATAAAGTTACAATAGAGTGTGCCACGATATGGAACGCCACCATAAATTTTGGTTGACTTGTTTAATTCAAGTGCGCATTTTTGTTTGATGGAGCGACTTAAAATTCTTCGGCAGTAAATTCTGAAAGATTCTTGATCTGTGAATCAAAATCTGCATCGTAAAAGCCAATTTCTCTCTCCATCCAAACAAAACAGACTTGCTTAAAATTAATGTTAATAAAAATGTCACGTTAAAGACCTGTTTTGGAAGATAATTCACAAGAATGTCAAAAGAACTATCAAAACTTCCCAAAGCTAATAGTAGCTAACACTTATCGTACCGTAAAATTATTTAGCAAAAGCTCAACTCAATAACAATAATCTATATGACGAGTTTCAATGTCAACATAACAGCAACAATACTTCTTCTTTTTACTTCTCTCAATCGTCTAAATAAAAAATGCTGTCAGCCCCTCAAATATGGTATGATGTCATTTTTTTCCTTCGCTCTTGCTCTCTCAGCTGCCTCATTTCTTCGAATTTTGTTTCATCACTTAGACATAACATTGGAAATGGATATAAATAAATAAAAAGTGAATTCATCGCATTTAGATGTGCATAGCATCAAGATATATAAGCGATGCAAATTTATGGATTTTTTTTGATGTTATGTATGGAATTAAATTTAAAAAAAAGTTATTGTAATGTAGCTGTGGGTTTCACATTTCAACATTTTAGCTCCCACACGCGCACATATGGCATACAATAAGATGATTGTAATTAAGAAGCAATGCTGCAGTTCAAATGTGTATAACTTTTTGCGTGTTTTTATTTTGTTTGATTAAATAATTTTTTATGGACTTAGTTTACTTTAAATTGCTATTTTAAAATGAATATTCATCATGACAATAGATCCATTCAGTTGCAGTTTGATGGACATGATTGAAAGTTTTCTATTCAAAATTGTGAAAGTCATTTAATCTTAAAATCCCATGGGAACTTGAATGTTCAATTTAAATCCTCATCTTCACGCAATTCTATTTACTATAATTTTCAACAATAAATCGCATTATATACCGTACTAAATGATCAACTCCTGAACATGTCATGGTAATTGAAGTCAATTTTGCAACATGTAATTTACTTTAATGATTGACATTTTCTTAAATTATTTTGGAAGCTTGCTTAAAATAAGTGCCATTTTTGATGTTAAACAGGAGCTGTTGAAGCTATTAACACAATCTCCGCCGACAAAAGGCAACCGCTGGCTATATTCAAATGAATATCGTGCGACTATTTATTTACTTTAAAAGCTTTAAATAATTGAATTCGAGCGTCGCGATAATTGATGAATGTTTTTTTTTAAAGCCCAAACAATTTAAACGTTTCTTTTTTTTATGGGGGCTAACGAATGTGAGAGGAGATAGAAAATTTATTTTAATTATATTGCACAATCTTGTGTAATTCATGATTCAAGTGAATTCAAGGTTAATTTTTCTGACCATGACCGTCAATAGGGTTTTCAATCCCGGGATTAAAATGAACTGAATCGCGAAATTGAAAACCCTAACCTCAAATCTTTATGATGATGTTGTCAGACTCGACATGAACTAAATCTGACAAAATCAACCTTTAGGATTCCCCTTTAAATATGCAAATAAATACACAACTCACCTCTTTGTCAGCATCATCAGCAAGATTGGCAAGAGACTGTTGAAGAAGAGACAGCAACCGTTCATATTTGCCATTCAACTCATCGAGTAATGTGCCATAAACATCACCAATTTCGGGTTCAGCATTTAATGTTTCAGGGGCATTATAGTCATTAAGTGAAGCTTTGAATTCATTGCTCTTGTCGTTGTATTGCTATATATTATTTTATGAGATAATTTTTTTTAATCCACTCATTTACATATAACAATCACATACCTCTGACACTTTTATCAATTTTCCACCACATAGATTAGTATCGCTTATCTGATTATTTCCTCTTCTGACCGTTTCTGTCAAAAGGCTCTGAGATTTTTTTATTTTGTGTTGTGTGATATGTAAATAATTAATTATCATCGGGTTAATATTATTGTGTGTATGATGAATACGATGGGGGAGAATTTAATTGTTATGAATAATTAGATTTTTTTTTATATATTTTAGTTCCGCACAATTTTGACATGTTTGTCATGGGTGAAATTAATATTTTACATATCAAAATTGTGTGTTATGAATTAATTATTATAGTTTTTGCTTTGTGTCAAGCTGTGGTCATTTGAGTGGGGAATTATAATAGTGTTTTGATCTGGATTTGAGGATATTTCCGTTGGCAATTATGCTAGCTTTTATATTTATTGTATTCCCAAAAAGCACAAGTCGGTTAATCTAATAAAAATCTGGTGCCAAGCCAGTGCGACTCTAGAATGGTGCTGGATTTAAATCGAAGTCAGCACCATGCTAGAGTCATGTCAGCTTGGTGCCGGATTTCTTTTCGATTAACCGACTTGTGCCATTCGGGATTGATCCTTATTCTTTACTGTAATTTACTCTAAAAAAGCAGATTTTAACTAGTAATGAGGCAACCAGGGACATAGCCAGGTGGATATGGACTTTCTTAAAAGTTTAAATCGCAGAGAAGAAAAGGCTGAAATTTTTTAGGGGGGGGGGGGGGGTTAACTGTCCTATTAAGTAAAGTGTAGACTTTACTACAGTCTTATATCTAATCCTGCCATAATTATATAATCAATTAAAACCATTGGGTTGAAAAAAACTTATATCAATGAAGTTCGATAGATATGAAGGTTCAAATCAAGGCGTGGAAACTATCCCAAATATCCCATTTATCCCAAAAATATTCAAAATAATCCCTGAGCCTAAATGCATTTGATTTGAGATATCCCATCATATCCTGAAATTACACGTTCAATACACTAAGGATACGTTGGGATATCTTTATCATCGTGCATACATGCTCAGGAATTTTGCGAATATTTTTGGGATATGTGGGATAAATATGATATTTGTGATAGTTTCCACGCCTTGGTTCAAATCCTCTAGGATGTTAATTTACATGAATTTTTAGGGGGTCATTCACTTATGATGTCCGAATTTAACGGTTATTTTTCAAAAAAAGAACAATGGATTTCCAGGAATTTCTGTTCTTCTCCCCCCTTCCCGGACGTCATAAGTGAACTTCCCCCCTAATGTTGACTCGTTTTTTTTAAAAAATTATCAAATGACCACAACTTGAATTATCCGAATTTTAATATATATTTTAATATTAAATTGTATATGTTTGAATTAAATATGAATATTAATTATTAATAATTTTTATTTTCAATACTCTTTTGTCTTTGTCAATTTATTGGAATTTCCGATATCCATAAGTTACTTTTTGAGTGTGCTCGCGATTAAATAAAATAAAGAAGATTATTATTATTATATTTTAATTAGTACTATCCAAAAAAATTGTATAAAAATTAAATTGTGATAAATTGATCACAGATTACCTGAATTATGAAATTAGCATTTTTAATCTAATACCGGTTCCTATTTTTTAAAAAAATATCATAACTTACTCTTTCTTTCGTATCTCCGAGATTTCTTAATATCTTATTTTGACGAGGAAATCATTCATTCAGCACATTCATATTCATTCATAAAAACAAAAAATTATATTCACATTTCCATAAATTTATCATCACATTGATTGCATGAATCTTACGTACATAGGAATATGTATATGGTTTTCCTGAGCAAGATAAATGCATTAAGGTTTATATTTAGCACATTTTGGGTGGGTTGACTAATGGACGAAATTTTTTATGTCATTTTTTATAACCTAATCAAAGCTAGTAGAAAGTTTTGATCATTTTATGAAAAAGATTAATCAAAATTCTAAGAATTTCGACCATTTGTCAACCATAAAAAAAACTTATATTATTGTGTCACAAAACCCTTAAACATTCATCACTCTCACATTTAAAAACAAATCAACTAAAATTGTTGTAAAAACGAATAAAATTCTTCCAATAAATAATTTAATTAAAAAAACATTTTCTATCAACGATAAATTAATTCAAACCGAAAATAAAAATGAATTACAACAAAAAAAAAGTCAAACATAGCATCGAATACTCACATCTAAGTCAAGAGCATTGCTGATGGTTGGAAGTAATTTTAATTTTTGTGTTTGCGTCTCAACCCACGTCTCCTCGAGTATGAGAGATGTTTGCAAGTTCTTTAATAGACCAATTGCTGTTTCGACGCTCTGAATTCTGTGAACGGAGAGAAGAAGAGAACTTTAATGATATAGATCAGGGTTGGATTGATTAATGCGACTGGTTTTGTGGATTATTTGGAGGCACAGAACATTTAGGAGAATTGAAAATAACTCAGACTATTAAAGGTTAAATTTAAGAACAGCTTGAAAATGTCAGAACAAACTTCATAACTTTAAATTAAGAACCATGCAATTCTAAGCTTACCTGTCAGCAAGTTGGAGATTAACATTGTTCCATCTCGAATTAAGACGCTCAACTCGGGTATGAAGATGCTTAAGATCTTCGATAATCTTTGTTGGAACACCCATTCGTCCAAGTTGATTAGCTGAATTGTTTGTCTTATCCATAGACGATTGATTTTCATAAATAATTTCCTGGAGTGCTGTTAACTGTTTCAATAGTTCGCGTAGACCTTCGATTGTCGACGGCATAATGATATGACTGGCAAGAACATTTTCCAAATCTTTAATGATATCGCCATTCTTCTCGAGTCCAGTAAGGGAGCTTTCAAGTAAATTCAATCTTTCTTTATGCAAATTAGCTTGAGTTATCAATTCCTTATATAACTCATTCAAATTGTCCAAGTTCTTTTTCTGTGCGGGAGATTTCAATGGAATTGATCGGAAGGTTTCTTTTAAATTCTTAAGATCAGAATCAAAGAAGCCAAGGCGTCGATTGAAATCAAGTATTGTTTCGAGTGCTGCATCAGATGCTGTGCGATCTTGAGGCAGACGTGATAAAATGATGCCGTCAAGTTCCTTTGCAAGACTTTCAAGTCGTGATGATAATTGAAGGCACTTTTCATTAAATAGTTGACTTGTTTGCTTGTTCTCCTCTGTTATGGACATGGAATAGAAATTATGGAATTAAAGATAGTCTTAAAAATTGGTAAAGCTTCATAAAATTGTTCGTTATTCTGCAAATCCTAGAGTTACCGCGGAAAGATCGAAAACGGAACATTCCCTTCATCTCAAAATGTTAATAACTATCTTCTTGTCTTTTGTCACAAAAGAATCACAGGAAATTTCACACAAAATAGCTTTATAAACTTAAACGAGCACTTTCCGTTCCAACAGTCACGAATAAACTAATCTAAAACGGTTCATTTGTCTCGCAAAACACAAAAACTAAGTTAATTGTATATCAATTATCTAATTTAAGATGAGATATTTATAAGCTCCATAACCGGTAAAGTGTAATATCACTAAAAGCCAGCTTTGGTCGATATTTTTGGTATATTGAGCATAAATTTATTGACATGATGATGATATGATGAGAAACAATAGAATTATCAACCCACAATCAATTATCAAAAAAAATTATTGTCTTGTTTAGAGATCAAGTGAAAGAGATGTTGTCCATAAAAGCACATCCCGTTCAGTCTTTATGATTATTTGTTTATCTTTATCGCAAAAACCTTTTTTAAGCATTTAAAAATATTTTTTTAAATTTATTGGCAATAAGAAATATTTTAAGTGCACTTTTTTATGTGGGATGGCCAAAAGGTGAGTTGGGGATATTATAGCTGTAGAATGGAGCATCAAGAAAAATTTAAACCACGCTTTTAATGCACAAAAAAATAAATAATTACACCAAGAATTTTTGTGAAACTGTAAATTTACCGTTAAGAGTAGATTTCGTTCACAAATTTGCACTAAGTAGCTCTGATCGACACGAGAAGCATACATAAGAAGCCGATAAAAGCATTTTTAATTGACTAATTGCTAATTGATCATACGGAGCTAACATTCCATCAAAATACACATAGCAAAAAAATTGCATGTGAAAAAAAATTATTACACGACAATAATGTGTATTAATAATGATTATGAGCAATTTTCATTACATGTAACATGACCATACATATAAGTCAGATATTTTATAAATATGGAAATGTGAGTAGCAATTAAAATACGATGATATTGATAATTAAAATTAAATAAATATAAAAAATTGTATTTGCAGAATATGGTCAATAGAATGCTGTTAAACAGTTAATTAAGTTTATTGCTATTTTTTTTATGGATCTTACCTTCTGAACTAGCGCGTCTTTCAAATTCATCAAATAGTCGATTGACATCAATCATTTCTTGCTTTAAATGAACAATTTGCTGATCTGTTGGATCAGTCTCAGCAAGAACTTTATCAGAATCTTCATTAAGAGCACGTCTAATGTCGTTACGTTGCTCATATCCCAAGGCCACAAAGTGCTCAAAACTCCACTCTTTTACTACACGAATTGTTGCAAGAATCATATTACGACGTAGATGAATTTGCTTAATTTGCCACAACTCAATTATCTTCTGTTGCGAAAGTCTCAATTTATTGACTAATTCGAATGCTTCTTCATTTGGTGGTGGAATCATTAAGCATGCACTCGGAATAATTTTCTCACCGCCTTTTATTGTCTTGACTTTCCAATAAACTTGTTGTGACGTATCAATCAAGTCAGCGACTTCACCTTTCTCTAACACAATTTGATCATCTTGTTTGTATGTACATAAACTTTGTACTGTATAAGGCTTGTTATGAATCAAATATTTTCGCTCAGTTAATGGCACAATTGACTGTGACCGTTTCGCTAATTTATCTACAACAACACTGAATTGATTTAATTCCTCTAAAATTGTTTGCATTCCACGCAATAAAATATCACCGCGATCGAGATTGAAGTCACTATCGGAATATTTTGTCTCAAGAAGGTCCTTTCTTGCGACAAGCCATTCTTTCTGTTCCTTGATATCATTATAAAAGTTCTGAAAATCAGCCAGATGTTTAAAATGGACTTCAAAACAATGAATAAGTTGATATATCCATGATCTTTGTTCTTGAATTTCTTGCATATAGCTTGCTACCATTTTAGATGCAGGATGTTGTGCAACAAGTCCTTCGCCTTTTTCCATTGCTGCTCTTATTTGTTGATCACGTCCATTAAATTCATTAACCAGTTGCTTATAGCTGCTGTTTAATTGCATCAATTCCATTGACGTTTCTGACCAATCACGATTTAATTCAATATTTTCGTGTGTCGATAACCAATTCAATTCATCTGTCGCTACGGTTATAAAGTCATGTAGTGCATGAAGGTCACACAAGCGTTTTGTTGATAAGCTCAAGAGCTCAGCATAAATTTTCTTCAATTGATTCAGCTTTTGTTGATAGAGATGTGCCTCATCGCCTGACAAGTTAGCCTGCTGACGTTCACATTGGAGTACTTTTGAATGATATTGATCGATTGTCTTGTGCTCAACTTGATGCTTGTCAAGTTCGGATGTAATTGAATTGTAATCTGATCCCCATGTTGCTTGCAAGATATTTGACTTGAAAAAATAAGTGAGAAATGTGAAGGTTTTTAATGAAATTATTGGAAATATATTCAAATTAAGAAAATTATAGAATTGAATTTGGAATGTCATTGAACATGGATCATTAAAGCTAGTAAAGCTGAGGGGAACATAGCTTGGTGGAAAAGTTTTGCATCCAAAACCAAAAATCATTTTTAACTAAGATGTCGAATGAAAATAGCTTAATGTATAGAAATTTTACTGGTTTTTTTACACCATGCTGTTTCCCCCCTGTTCATGCAGTGCTTTCATTAAATCCATCAAAATATTTTCAATTCATCACAAAAAAATTCAATTAAATTTCCATTGAATACTAACCAGCCTTTGTTGGCACCATGATATATGCTGTTCAATGTCCCTCAAATACGGATTATGCTCCAAACTTCTACCATTCGTTAAATCACGTGTTGGTGACATTTTTGAAAGCATTTGAAGGTGGAATGTCGTTCGAAGTTGTGAATACTTTTGATTGACTTGTGTTGCACTAAATTTAATTGAATAGAAAAAATATTTAAATTGTAAGACATGACAAAAAGTAGTTTCCAGCACTTACTCGCTATACAAATCTTTTGATTTTGCATGATTTCCATCAATTAATGCGTGGCTATCTTTAATCATTTGTTCGATTGGCTTCTCAAGAAGTTCAATTTCAGTTTCGATTGTTTCAACAATTGTTCGTGCATCAAGGCGATGAATTTTATCAATTCTGCTACTTTCATTTGAGATTCTAAATGATATGTCTGTAATTTTCTGATCAAACTGCTCAACTTCTCGTATAACCTTGTCCGCCAACATCTCGAGTTGTTGCAAATGTTGTATGTGGAGGAGTAACTCATGTTCCTTGTCTGCTAGTGCTGTAATTAATCGATACCAAAACAATTCCAATGATTCCGGACGAAGGTCAAGTTCGAGTGACGTTTCACCAACAGATGAAAAGTACCGTTCAAGTTGGCTGTAAAGAACGGTCAAACGTTGCTTGTCTTTCTGTCTTTCAGGCACTTCAATGTTACGTAACTTCTTAAGATCTTCAAGCAATTTCTTTAGCGATGTTATGTCCCTATCCAATGTTCGTTCTTGAAGCATTATTGTTTTTTCACGACACCAAATAAGCAACTTTTGGGCTTGCGTTCGATATTCTTGTGACTGTGTTTGTGAATCACTATCCATAAGTGGATGTATTTTAGGTGGTTGTGGAAAAACGTGATAGATTGAACTGATGTATGTAATCATAGATTTCTCATCTGGCGCGCTTGTGTCAACATCTTGTGAATCTAAGATCTTATAGACGCTAAATTCCTTTTCCATCGTACTAAAGACTCTTTCCAATCGTTCACGACTTTTAATTTCACGTATATTACGCCAATCAACTAAATCTGGACGATTACGATGTAAAACAGCTGAGAATGCTAAACCATCGCGCCATGATGTTGTAAAGTCATTGATCTGTACGCCAGGGTATTTCTCAGTTGTCTTTTTTGCCCATCTCAGCAGTGCCTCGCGTGCTGATACGTTTTCATCATTACCAAGCATAATATCAGAAATCTGTGAATGAATTGAGCAAAAAGAAAAGGCATATTATAAATCACAATTGAGTTGGATGGAAACATAGATTAAGATGAATTATTTATTAGCCATGACGAATTCTAAATTGATCTTGTGTTGTTAAAATGTGTGAGATTTGAGTCATTCAGTTTGGGTTCGATTAAAAAATAGAAGTCTGACTTCTACAAACATTTATGACGATTGTTTAATCTTAGGTGTTGATTTTCTGAGAACAACACAAGTATAGTGGAATCTGGAATATAATAAGCCATATGTTGATGATTCTGTGAGTGTGACCTGAGGTAGATTCATTTGGTATTAGTCCAAAGGCTGGTTTTAAGGCTTATCCACGTATCCTTCTAAAGCAGAGTTGTCCAAACTTTTGGAGCAACGGCACAGCTGAGGGGCAAGCCATAACTGACGTCACACACAGAATCTGGATCGTGTCAGTTTCAAAAAAAATTCTCCGCCGCACTAATGTGCTACGGCACACAGTTTGGAAAACACTTTTCAAAATAATTGATTGTCACTAATAGGGGTAACATTAGCCCTTAAAACCAGCCCTAGAAATCTCTAATCTATAAACCAATTATCATCAAAAAATGCGCCACATCCCATTCATTTTCCCTCAAAACTTTTCATATTGTTTTCCACATAAATCTCTCTAAATATGGCCATTGGGCGAGACACACCGAAAATACAGATTTTTTTTCTCCCATACAGAAATTCATCAGCACTAAATTGCCGTATGATTTCATAATCAAGTACATGTAACATGGACCATAATCGGACCATTCAGTGAATAATGCTTTTATATAAATTTCGCTCAGTGCAAAAAAAAAATATTATTTTTTTGTTGTCGAAGGTCATGATTTTCTAATGATCAGCAATATTTTACACGAAAAATGTGGGCTGATCAGTTCGTTATGGTATTTTTTTTGTGAATGAAAAAAAGATTTTTTTTCTTCTAAATTTAATCAGCTTTGCTGTTTTCTAAACAAGACATAATGATGTTAATAAAAGCTTTGTTAAATCAAGAAAATCCAGTTAAAAGAATCTTGAGCTGTTAATTATAAATGATGAGAAAATATCTTAAGCACGCGTTGCTAAAAATGTCCAGATTATTTTGTAAATATCAGTCAACACGATCTACTTTTTTGGACATTCATAAATGAGATTCTTTATTTGCTTTTGTAGGTAAAGAACTAAGTAGAATCCGTAAAATCATTAAATTGTAATTTGTATCTTCAATTCTTTGTTTGGGAAGTTCAGTGTTTCTCAATCTTTTGATCGCGATACGATATTGTTTCGATTTTATGCTAGAGTTCAGTAATTTATACCAAACTTTTGATTGATGCTTAGTAATTGGTTTGCTGAGACGCATTCAAAAGTTTAAGAACCCCTGAAGTAGGCAAAAAGCTCAATAAAGAGCAATAAAGGGTGTGAAGTTCTCTGAAGAATCTGTGATTTTTACAAATTGCCTTGAGTAGCCTAGAGCATATGCAAACATTTTCATCAGAAATTATGAGTCAGCCTTGATAATTGAATTTATTCATAAGTATCTCGTAAAATGAATCACAATAAAGTTTGCCGGAAATGTATGGAATTTATAGTAAACATTTAGAGTAGCTAGGAAGTTCTATGCAACATGTGCTGCTTTTCTCCTCGATTATGGGAAAGTTCTAAGAGATTTCATCAAAATTTTTCGAATTCCTTAAGAAATCAGCCTTCAAAAACTTATAAAACTACTTTAAAATTCAATAAATCATAGAGAAGCCCCTTGAAAAATCCCATACGTCACAAAACCCTTACTGCTAATTATTGCTAATTCTAAGCCTACACAACATAGAACCAAATAGCAGTTTTCATTCATGAATTATTGCTGAGTAACTCACTCAACCTTTTCTTTTGAATCACAACAACACTCATTGACGAGAATAGTAGAAAGAATTCTTTAAGCTTGTCTTAAATTTTTTTTTCGGATGTCTCGTGCAATTTTAGTTCTTATTTGATTCCATTTCTACCCAATATGGTCATGAAGACGCAAAAATCACGTGTGGGTGTCCAAAAGGTATTTTCATATATTATTTTTTAATTCAACCATTTGTGTGTGCCTGAGCTGCGTTTTTCATTTCTGTATTAAATGTCGTAGGTGGACCGTACACTTGAAATATGTTATTCTTATGTCCTTGATCTAATTTAATTGATTTTTTTCACATTTATGTCTATAGCAAATTTTACCTTAGAACTTTTCTTTAAAGCAGATGGATATTCCAATGAGTATGTTTTCGTAACATGGCGTGATGATGTTCCTACATTATCAACAACATCAACACCTTCACCACTTCTATGTGATCGCGTTTCTTCATATTTCATTGTCTTTCTGACCAAATGACTTGGTGCATCTTCTAGATTATACTTCACATTATACTCGACTGTCTTATTTATCACTTTTTCTTGTTGATCTGTCGACACTTCATAAAAGTCATTATCTTTCTCATCCGTCGATGCACACTTGCCTGGTGCACATTGAAAATTCATAAGCGAGCGCTTACGAGGTTGCTTATTATCTTTTGACTTGAACATTGCTGAATGACATCAAGTATGTTTTAATTATTTAATTAATTTACTGTTCCGCTCTGCTTTTTTTTTTATAGAACTTGTCAATGTGACATCCAAATTTGAACAAACACAATAATTTGATTGATAATTTACCGAAAAAAAAAACCCGCGCGAATGTAAAAAGAATTTACGACAATAAAGAAAACTTTTTCTGTCAAGAATGAGATGAAAAAAAAAAACTTAATTGACGCGAGCACGACTTAAAAGCGAACCGTCTCCAATGAAATTCGATCAACAATTGAGAAAACTGCTAAAAACGGTCGATTGAAAATGAGACTGAGATGATGTTGATGGTGTCGGTGTTTCACGGTGTTACCAATATGTAAGTTTTTCAATATTATTATTATTATTTTTTTTCTGTCGAATATTTAATAACTCGCTATGACCGTAGTTGGATGTAAAAGGTTTTTTTTATCAAACAAACACACAAAAAAATTCAAAGGTAGTGGGCAAAAAAAATAATATTTATTTTGTGTGTGCGCTGCATACATCCCGAGCTGTGCTGCGTGAAAGATACATAATGGCTTTTTGTAAATGATTTGTGGGACTTGAAAGTCCTTCCATGGAGGAATTAGGAGGGAGCTAAGTTCAAATTCTATCGAGAATCTCGAAGGATGTTGGTTCGAATCCAAAAAGTTCCTTATTTGAGATTTTTAAAACTGCGGTATCTTTGACTACTTAATTTAAGAGTTCCTGATCTAATTGGGGTTATGAAGTCTCTTTCTTGCTATATTAAAGAATACATTCAGAGTTGCAATACAGGCAATCGTGCACATGTGAGAACCGTACAATTCCTTGATAATTTGTATGGTTTTTGTCCTTAGAAAGCCATACAAATTATAATCAAACCCATAAAACCTCATAAATTATCAAGGAATTGTACGGTTCTCACCTGTGCACAGGTGCCTGTATCTCAACCCTGGATACAGTTAACATGCTGGACTATAACTAGCTTTAGCCACCCTTTGAGTGCCAAGAGTGTGTAACATACAGTTAAAACAACCTTTTAAAGCAGATTGGCTAAGCTTTTCAATTTAATATCATCAACTGACATATAAACCAACATTCTGCAACATAACATCCACAGCTCGGGTCTCTACAACAGCAAAGAAGCTTTTTTTCCTCTCATCAATCGCAAGATTAAGTATGAATATTCGTTGAGTTATGTAAATTGAATCTTCTCATTATTATTTTTGTCTCTCTCCTGCACTTCTTTCTTCATCGGACTTCCATATTTGGCAATATATTATTTATTTTCTCAAATTGAAAAATAATAACATTAAGTAGGAAAAAATGCGGACCATACAGATTGTTTGTTTGTGATACGAAGAGATTAAAGAGATTTTATGACAATTTTGTTATTAATACAACAAGCCGATACGAAAATGCGTGAGCTGAACTTGTTTTCCGAAAATAAATATTTCTTTCTATGTATTTACAAATAATTTAATAAGGTAATCAGTATATGGCTTATTTTAAATGTAAATCAAAAATATATATCGATACGCTTGTGAGTTTGATTTTCCAAGTTAGTAAAAATTTTCCCTTTCGAATTGTCGAGCGATAACAAATTGATTGGAAATGTTTTTGGAATGTTGAGTTAGGCGCTTTTGAATTAGCTATGGATGGTAATTTTACTAGGTTCAAATTATTTGCGAATTTTTAAAAGGAATTACAGGTTTAAAGGATCTTTTCATTGCATATTTTGGAGGTTGCAAAAGAGTCGTTGGATATCAAGCAGGAAATGAACCTTCGCTCGAGATTCTTGACTTGAGTTTATATAGTCCTAAAGCTCCTTAATCAGATTAACTATCATTTCTAGACTAGCTTCATCAGATATCAATTCAATGTCGATGACTTATAAAAATGTGAAAGCTAAGAAAAGTCTTCGATCCATTTCTTATGTCTAGATCAGTGGTAGTCAACCTTTTTTATGCGACGGCCCACCTTGATGATAAGCCATGATCAAAATCGCACACAGAATGCGGTTCGTGGGATTCCCAGAATTTTTTTCACTTGTGTGCCGCTGCACATGGGTTGGCCATCACTGTTCTTTATTCATACTTGAGCATCCCTAACCTAAACTGAAACAGACAGCAATTTCAGCCCACCCAAAGTGACACTATACCAGACCATCTTCTACCTTTAACATACCAAATGAAGTAGAAATCAGCATCGTAATGCAATTGGTGCAGTTTATGGGCAATTAGACTTTTTGCAAATGATCGACGCGAGGGAATTTATGTATAATTCAAAGTAGTTAATTTAATGCGGCAATCTATTTGATCACATCGAAAAAAAAGTTTTTTTTTTGTATTAATAATATGAAAATACGCCTTGTTTATGGCGCTGTAAAGAATGCATATGGAAGCAATCAATATAATGAACATATTTGGAAGCGTATCATTTTAATTGAATGGTCTCAATATCTCTCACTGATCCATGAAAATGAAGTAATGAAATGCAAGCGAATATTGACTTAGGTTTAGACTTGAGAGAAATTGAATGAATTGTCAATTTGAGGAGTAGCTCCATGACACCACATATTGAACATTTGTAAAGTCAAGATTTTTTATTTTCGAGAGATCTATTTGATTGCCATAACAAATCGTTAAGTAAATAAATGCTGTCACATTTTAATTCATCAATCGACATTATTATTGTTGTTATTGCCACTTTAACTCGTGTTCGACATGTTTAAAATTGAGAGATGATTGCAGGCAACCTTTTGTATGTAAATTATTCTGTCAAGTATCTTTGGACATTTTTGGTGTTGACATTTTTTTTCTCACATGCAGAAAATATACTTGAAGAATTTCAAAAAAAAATGTAAATTAACTGCTGGAGTTTTTGTGTTGTCGTTGCTTGATACTTTTAATGGGAAAAATGTGTTTTGTTGCAATTTTAAGTGGCTTTTAAGATTTTTTGAATTTGCAAATTTAATAAGTTTTAAAACTTAAATTTCAATTATTCGAAATTTGTTAAATTGTTCAAATTTAAAAAAATATGTCAAATTGTTCAAATTTAAAAAAAATGTTAAATTGTTCAAATTTAAAAAATACGTTAAATTTTTTAAATTTAAAAAAATATGTTAAATTGTTCAAACTTAAAAAATGCGTTAAATTTTTTAAATTAAAAAAATAAGTTAAACCGTTCAAATTTAAAAAATACTTTAAATTGTTCAAATTTAAAAAAATATGTTAAATTGTTCAAATTTAAAAAAATGCGTTAAAATATTCAAATTTAAAAAAGGGTTACATTTTCAAACTTTTACAATTTGAATTTTTGAAAAACTTAAAAATTTGAATTTTTAAAAAACGTTATTATTCAAAATTAAAAAAACTGCTATAAATATTTTTTTTTGCGAAATTATCAATTTTTCAAAGTTAATAATTAATTACTACATTTAATCAGCTATTAAGTCCGAATCTCCCGTTATTAAAACCTCTTCTTTTTGATCACATGGCGCCTGACATATTTACATCACCTATCCTAACATTCGTGTCTCGAATTTCTCAGAAATATCTTTCTCTTTTTACTATATTTCCTTTCTTGAGACTCTAATGGGGATCTTAAAAAATGATGTCTAAGTTTTGGGAGGGTAAGGCACTTTGTTAAACTTCCAAACTGATCCAAACAATCAAAAAATATTTTTAAAAGTGGTGAATTGAGTCAAAAAGCACGATTTTTAAATTGACGTAATTTACAAATGAACCCCAAATATTTTCTCACATTTTAAAAATCATTAGAATATCAATAGACGTCAAAATTTATTTCAAAACAAGTCACACAATATTATTCAAAAATCTTTACGATGTTATGAAATAAGCTGTCATCTATAACATTTCATAAATAATAAGTACGTGCTTAAATTATTTTTTTGTACTTACTTGAAAGTGTAAAATTATTGTCCAAATCAATCCGAGGATTAATTTGGGATTTCCATCGTAAATATCCACAGGTCGAATATTAACGACTTTCACGTTTTTCTGCTGAAGAAATTTCAATGCTGTATCGATGTTCTGCAGCATGTGCCATCGCATTTTGCCTTTCTCACGTGGCTAATTCGAAGAAGAAGAAAAAAATCAATCTAATTAAGGGAATTGGCTACTGAGAAGTTTAACTTACCAATTTCTCATTAGACAGCAACTCCAATAACGTTAAGAGATTATGCCCATCACGCAAATCAACAAATAAGTCTGTAACTTTACCACCTGCCTTACGTAGATGGTTATTGACCCATTTTGTGAACGTTTTCTTCTGTATCGCATCTCGTTCGTCTGTAAGTAAATAAACAATTTGAATAAGATTGTTCTTATGTAGCATACAGGCACAGACAGAGAAAAGTAATTATTTTTAAGACAAAAATGTGAGACTGAGTTTAGTATTTGTGGTAATTTTTTTACATGAGCAACGCAGTTCATTGAATTTGATTACGAGCAAAAAAAAGAAGGAATTAGTTGGAGTGCCACTGTTGATGGTGGTTATGGAAAGTAATGATTTTCGGGTTAATTTTGAAAGTCTTATGGATGTGAAAAAAGGTGAATTGTTGTGGAAATTATGATGATAACTTGAGTGTTGAAAACTGAAAGACTGAAGGCTTGGTAGCAACTTTGATTGATGTTGTTAACAAAAGCTGTTTGAAAGAAATTCAGTTTGAAGATCGGATTAACAGTCGTTTATCAGATTCCTCAAGCAAACCATCTAGATCAGTTTATAATTCTTTAAACTATGATTCCGGGACTGCTTAGATCAGTAATTCAGTATGAATTAAGTTGAACTATGCAACAGAGCTTCAACCCTTCCTGCTACCTCCTGACTCTTACTAAACTAAATTTAAATGCAACACAAAGCAGATTCAACACAAAAATCACTGCTCAACCATTGTCCTGTTCCAAAAATACCCAATTGCATCATAATTAAGTCTTCAAATTGACCTTATCGTATATGAATCACGAAAATTCAAGCTCAAGCATATAACTTAATAATTAATGAATAATTTTATATTTTCAGCACATTAATCAGCTGCCTGTATAATCCATAAATAGGACAATGTGTATGAATAATGAATTTTTCTCATACGAAGTAAATTAAGCAAAGAACAATGGGAATAAAATGAAATTCACGGTTCTCCGGATGTCCTTGAGGAAGTGTTGAACAAGAACGCAATATACTCGTAAACATTTATCATCATTCTAATTTAATTAATAACACCAATCTCGTCGAGTTCATTAGAAAATGCATAAAAGAGGAGTTAAGCATTAGCTTCTTTATGTCGTCCATGATTTATGTCACATTGCGTGACTTATGAAAAATTTCTTTACAACCTATGAAATTCCACGTATGAACATGAATGAGGGAAATAACCCACGCAATTATGCAATGTGTGAGGTACGGCTGATCGTCATCTACATAATTTACATTGTCAACAGCACAAAATTGTTTCACCATAACCGTTTACGAGTCATTCTTATTATTACCTTTTACATCTCTTAATGCACTTTCGTAGGTTAAAACAGATGATGTTGATGATGATGGTGACGGCTTATAAGATTTAAATTTTTTATGTGATGGTGAATCAAAATCATCATCACTTGGTCCATTATAAAAGAGATCATCAACTTCGTTCATTAAGTCGTCTGGATCGAAACCCAGACGATCCTTCATGTATGAATGATTAGCCATTTCACTATTATTTTTTTTTTGGATTCTTCTTCTTGCCTTTTTTCTTTTAAAATATCTTATTTACTTAATAATAAATTAGCGTGAAACACTTTTAAGTAATTAAGGAATGTCATGCATGTTTAACACTAAAAAAAAGATTTTTTTAAATATTTTCACTTTTGTATAAATAAGACACAACTTATTATGTCAAGGTTGAGTCCATAAACTTATATTTTGATGATAAAAGAGACCGTAAAATGAGTTTTTAATATCACACTTTTTATGCTGCTTAAAATAATTACTCAAGAAAATGTATTATCATTAATCATTTGTTGATTAATTTATTAATTTAGACAACACTTTGATATATTTCAACGTCATTTCGCAGGTTGAATGTAATTATAATTAAACTAAAGCTTCAAATAACAGCAAATCTTAGCCAAAGAAGTAAAAAATGAAAACAAAAAAACAGAGATCATTAGGAACGAGAAGGAGAGAGAGAGAGGGGAGGATGAGAATTTAAAGGTAAAAGAAAATGTTGCGAATGTAATTAATGCTATACACTGTTTTGCAGAGTTGTTTTGGTGGAAAGCTACCATTAGCAAAAATTTTCCTATTTATTATTCTAAAGGTCAGTAGTAAAGAAAGACTTCAAATAAAATATAACGGTTGAAAAAAGTTTGAATTTTCTTTCCGCAATTTTAAAATTTTTCTCACTTCATATTTTAAATTTACAATATCTAATGCTAGAGTAGCTTTTTGTCTAGAATTAAAGAGTTTTCTTGGAGAAAAAAGTGGCACAGATTGATTGACACCAACTCTGCATGCTCATTTAGCAAAATACCAATGAAATTGATGTAAATTTGCTCATTTTATTCCATTTCATAATCTTCTTCTCTCCTCTGAATGATTTTTTGTATTACAAATATATTCCATTTAGCATCAAAGAGGATAGGAAGAGAACCATGCAAAAAATATAACAAATTGACACTTTATGAGCCTCCATTATATCCAGCATAGTTCTGAGAAAAATTATTTGAGTATTAAAGATTTTAATGACAAAAGAGCTCAACTTCAAAATCAATAAAAACTGTTCGTTTTATGGACATTTTCTTGTGTATTCATCCTTTATTTTTTGTCTGGTAATTGATTTTAAAAGAATGCCATTATGTGATTCCATTGTCGTATGAAAAAAAAAGAGAAATATAAAATGTTTTAACGACTCTCTCGCCTCGTTTTAAACAATGAAATTTGTGTTGTTTTTGCCTCAACCGAGTCACAATTTGTTTTTTGTTTTCACAAATCCGCAATTGTAATCTCCCACGATACCTCATGCTGATATTATTTATGCAGATTTGAATATTGAAATTCTAACTTGTTTATGCAATTAAAGACCTTAAGTTAGAATTGTTTTGTAGCTGTCAGATTTTACAATTTGCGTAGGATTCGTAAATCTAGTTCAATGCATTCACATGTTGCACAGACCAAGTAGTCTGTCTGGACATTGGTGATTGAAACATTTCTTCAATGCCATTCTTGATTTTACAGTTCTTGATTGAAATTTTATCGAAGTTGCAAAAAAATATGCGAATGGTGCATACGCAATTGAAAAGAACATGTAAAGTGGATGGAATGTAATCGGACAAGGTGGTTGGTGAGTTGGGAATTGATAGAATAAAATGTTTTTTGTTGGATTTATTGAACTTAATGCTTTCTGCAGCTTAGGATAGTTCACAAATGATGTCTATTGAGAAATGATCACTTTTGATGCCTCTTCTGTCACAATTCTATAGATTAATCTCGAAAATAACCATTTAAAGGTATTAGACATCATAAGTTGACGACCCCTCGATCAATTTTGCAATATCATGTCCACTGGATATCAAATCAGACTAAGCACTCATAAATTACTTCATTTCACTCACAAATCACTGATAATTTCATAAATTGACATAAGAGACATGATATAATTTTAATGTCCATTAAGTCCAACTTTGAATCAGTCGCATGGAAATAATTTAGTCTCACGAAACCGGTCAGATTATGCGGAAATATGAATGCGGCATCAGTAAAAACAGTGGATTCAACAACACGAAAAATGAATAAAAAGTTTTATGTAAATCTGAATGCAATGCCTAAATTAAGAACATTTTGCTTGTTTGCTGTCATGCAAAAAATTCTCAAAGGAGATATTTGCACCTTCCTTTGGAGCTGTTGCTTCATTATATTCCGCTTTGTGACTTTTCTGAATGTCTAATTTATCTTATCGATCACGATAAGACGCTTCTTCTATGCTTGTTTGAAGAATGGATATACTAATTTAATCGAAAAGTGATGAGTTCATTGAACGTATTTATGACTGGATATTAATTGAGATTTATTGGTAAGTTTTTTCAGCTTTCAGAATTGATTTATGACTAAATTTTTAATAGAAGTTCATTACTCATTCTGTACATCATTGATAGATAAAAAAATTGTTGGGATTTTCTGTGATTGAGATTTTTAATTTTGATTTTATTCGCAGTGGTTTTTCTAGGAAGTTTAATTTTTATTGGGGTCTGTACAAAAATGATGTCTAAAATTCAGTAGCAGAGCTAATGACAAAGCTTTTGACTTGGCTTGTACTTTTAATTTATTTTTTTGGGGGTGGGGCAGAGAAATTCAATTTCTATCGAAGACGTCATTTATAAACAGCTCCCTTGAAAGTTTTATGATCAACTTAATTTAATTTGCATGCTTCAACATAACGGTAGCAATAATCATAAAAAAAAGAAAGATTTTTATCTATTTTTTGAAACGTTTGCAAATTTTAAATCAGAACGAGAAACGTGAATTTTGGCGAATGTTGAGCTTATTTTTCATTTCTTATTCTTAATAGATGTGAGCACATAGAGAAATAGATAGGCAAAACTATTAAGTCTGCTTAACATTGAAAGATAAAGTGTAAGAAGTTTTTGAGTATGAAAAAAAAGAAGTTGATATGGGAATCAAGATAGCATAAAAGTTGGAAATTCCGTAATTGTTGCCAAACTGTAGTTCTTTTTTGTAATTGATTTGTATGTGAAACTTTTGTAAATTAAGGCAAATTTTATAGGAATTAAACTCTAGAGAAGGTGTGATTTATAACATCGCAGCTGAAGATTAAAGCTATTCCGCCTCTGATTTGCATTGTTTTTACTTTGAGACATTTAGATGCAACCTGTTGAGTTGCGTGCTTTGATACTCTTTAGTTCCATAATATGTAAGAACATTTTGTATTTACTCAACCAGAAAATCTGGCAGAACTAATCCTAGCTTTGTATATTTGAACAACTAAATCATAATTTTTCAAGGGGATAACAACATGATGGGAAGTTCACAGCTTTGAGTTTAAAAAATATGAGGGAAAGTCGGTGAAAATTGCGATAAGTTGCTTGAAAATTTCACATTATTTTGAGAATTTCTTATTAATTTCCTATATAAATTTTTCCCATCATGTTGTTATCCCCTCCCAGTTAATAAAATTTTGCATGCACTTTACAGTTTAGTTCAGCTTATTTCCAGCCAATATATATCCACAAGTCTAAATTGCATCGAAAAGAATTTCAGAAGAAGGCGAGCGCCAGAATAAACCAACTCAATTTATGACAACATTTATAGCCCATATGGTGTATACAATTTATTTATTGATATACACTTTAATTGCGTTTTTGCGCTTTGCACTTTTTGAAAATGGAATATACGCCAATTTATAGACTTTAATTTTTCGAATCACCTCCAAGAACGTTAGATGCACACGTTGGCTAATTCTTATTTATGATATCAGCAAGAGATATTTTCGCACAAAAAATTATTTCATCGTCGATCACGAAAGTATTTTTATTGGCGGGTGTTATAAATTTTAATTCATAATCTTCACTGTCAATGCTATCATAAATATAATAACATATTTTTAGCCTAGTCAATTGCAATGGACTTTCCTCAATGCAATCATTTCTATTATTTCTTTTTTGTTATCATTTATTTTTTTTTATCAAAAAGCCTCTCAAAACTTTTATTAAATCACTTAACTTATTGTGTGTTATCAAGTGTGTGTATGATAGCAGATGATGACGTAATGGTTGATTGTAATTAATAATCAATCTAGTTGAATGAAAATAATTTGTTCTTGGGGTTGATTATAAATGATGTCTTGGGTTTTAATTTTTTAAACTATCTATGTTCCAAGCTTTCATCCCCAATATGTCCCAGCTGTCAGTTTCTAAGGCTATTTGGGCCAACCCAACCCTCAAATCAGGGGCGTAGCCAGGAATTTGAAGAGGGGGGGGGGGGCAAAAAATTTTTTATATGGAAAATTCAGAGGGAAGGGGGGATTTTTTATGATTTTTTCATAGCAAAATGAAGAAATTTCTGTTAACGTCGGGGGATTTGTCACCCAAATTCCCGCCCCCCCCCCCCCCTGATTACACGCCTGCCTCAAATCAATTATACACTTTGGGATTTTAATAAAATTTGACGGTCACTAAGGTAAATTGAACCAAGTTGCACTAGCAATTAACTCCAATCCACGCCTATACTCCTCCATCATACAAGACATCATTTATAAACGACCCCTCGATTGTTGTTGTTTTCATTCATTCATTCATTCATCGATCAATTGAATCAATTCTTTTTCTTACAAAAGAACAGAAAGTTTAAATGGAATTTCGTAAGAAGAAGCAACATCCACACTTCCATTGAAATTTGATTAATTTTACGAGAATGCATTGACTGTGACAGGAATTTCGTCAAACAAAATTGATTCTTATTTTTTTTATCACATTTCCTGAGAATAATGTGTACGGTGGGCATTAAATTTAAGCTTATGAGTAATATGATAACACATAAGGTATACAGCATTGAGTAGTACTATTATGACAATAAAAATTCACAGTTTACGGTCTCTTTTAAGTCTCAAAATGATTGTAAATTGTGAAAATAAAAAGTTGTTGACAATTTTTGATCAAAAAAAGTATCTTGAGATTGTGGTCACTTATGCTGCAGCTATTCATTCACAACTTTATTTTTATTTTTAAATTTTCACTTCCAAGAACTGATAAAAATCAAAATTTTTAATTTTCATGCCACTTGACTGCAATCTTTAAGTAAAATAATCACTAATTAAATTCAATTACATTTCAAATCAACATAAACTTTAGACTTCAAATCTACTTTACGCCGCACTTAGTAAGGCACTTTTTGAAACCACAAAAAAAAAATCACTATACCCGTCTGAAAGACTTACGATGAAGACGGAATGAGAAAAAATCAAAAAAAAATATTATTTATAATAATAATGAAGGAATAAAAAAATTACTGCCGGAGTTGAATCGTAGACCGCAGTCGGAATGAAACTGAAAATGATTTGTTAAAGTTTGTTTAAAGCTCTCAACTCGAACTCAACTCAATATACGATAACTTTTTTTTTCTTCGCGTATGTATTTCTTTAACTATATAAGAACTATCTACAATCACATCCATACACGGTGCCTTTTGATAAATAATCGATAAGCAAAGAAATTCTCTGTTAATGAGACATGAGAAAATAATGAGAGAAATGAAGAGAGTTTGGAGAAGAAAATATGTTCTTATCTACAATTAGATATTGTTGTACAACAGCAAGTCCGCTTGGATTAACGGATGCTATTGTTCGAATAGTATTAAGGGGCCTTAAACTAAGGAATTAGCTTGTCGTTTAAGTGTAAATTTTTCATAACGGAAATTTAAAATTCAAATAATTTTCAGTTTAAAAAATGCGAAACAGGGTTGAGAACCGTACAATTCCCTGGTAATTTATAAGGTTTTTCTAACAAAACCATACAAATTCTAATAAAACCTTATAAATTATCAAGGAATTGTACGGTTCTCACCTGTGCACAGGTGCCTGTATCGCAACCGTGGTATGGTTTTGTTAGAAAAACATTATAAATTATCAAGGAATTGTACGGTTCTCACCTGTGCACAGGTGCCTGTATCGCAACCCTGATGCCAAATTTCTACTTTTTCTGAGACTTGAACTTGATCATTGCACTAAATATTAACTGTACATCAAGATTAATCCACACAATATTGAACATGTTTTTTCATACACTCTAAATTCGCAAATTCCTCTATACACCTTAACACAAAACACCAAACCATGACGGATATATCAGCCAGCATAAATTACGATTGTTCATGTACTCCAAGACACCAGAAAGAGACAGACAACGGTGAAAAATGACTTATGTTTACACTTTCCACTTCTCTTGATACCTTTTTTTAAAATTATTTTGAATGTCATTTTTCATTGAAGTCATGCTTCTTGTGTGTCATAATTTATTAATATGAATTCGATGTACCGTCAATAAAAGCCATAAATAGGAACACAGCACATGATGATTTATTATTCAACTTCTTTTCGCACTCATTTTCGTAAGTGATTCACAAAAATTTCGCATTTCGTAAAGCACAAAAATTACCTGTTGGAATGTTTTGTAGATGTGACAGGTAATCGCGTATTAAGTCAGTATGGAATTCCGTAAGTCTCTTATTTGCGAATGAGAGGAAAAACAAAGTATAATTGCATGCTATTGTACAGTCTTAATTATAATGGTCAATTTCCATTCGAGAGATAAAGTTGCTGCGGGCTAAAAATTAAATATTGCTTGTTTTATTGATGGATGTAGAACAGGAATTGAAGAAAAACATGTGTTTAAGCATTTTCATGCAATATTGAGTATGGACATTTGAAATTTTACATCATACAGTAATTTAATGACTTAACATGATACTCAATATTTAACTTTCTGTCGAATGACTTTTTGAAAATTTTATGTCTGTTGATTTTACCAAACAGACAGTTTTTATCACTTCTTCTACACCTTTAATAGTCAACAGTTAGGAGATTCCCACTATAAGCTATGATTTTACATCTTTATCTTGTTATCAAATTAGCTGATTGTCACCTGTTGCCTGTTGGACTTTTTATTGTGTTTTATTGGATCTTATCAGGTTTCACCATCTTTTTTTTGCGAAAATATTTGACATTAAGCCACTGATTAATTAATTCAATAAACCTAATGCCAAATGAATTTTTAATGTCTTGTTTAATAAGCAGGAATTGCTTTTAAATTGGTTTAAGGTGACTTTTAAATTAAAAACAGTCGAAAATATAAAATTCTACATGAAAAGTAGGTTTAAGAAGCGAATTTTTGAATATGGTGAAGGACTCGGGCCTTGAAAAGTCTCAGATCAGGCGCGTAACCAGGGGGGGATTTGGGGGGCAAATCCTCCGACGTTAACAGAAATTTCTTCAATTTGCTAGGAGTATTATGGAAAACTCATAAAATCCCCCCCCCCCCCCCTTCCTATACATTTTTTTGCTCCCCCCCCTCTTAAAATTCTTGGCTACACCCCTGTCTCAGGTCTCAGATAGACTTGTAGTAACCTAAAGCAAGCTCATAGTATAAACTATACAACCAGGATTATCCAGGTTTATCCTATATCTGCAAAATTTTCAAATTAAGATTCTCTGTGACTTAATATTAGAACATGACTAGAGATGTCTTAAGGTTTAGTGAAGCATTGACCTAGAGCAGTGATTCTCAACCTTTTTAGAGCACGACATTCCAAACCACCAATGACTGAGTGTAAATTAGAAGTACTGCCATGATTTTGAGATAACTGAAGGTTTTGGCAGCATAGACGTGTGTCACAAAGCATAGTTTGAGAAGCACTGACCTAGATTTGACTTCGTTAAGCCTCACCTATCCAGGCGAAGAGTTCCAAAAGAGTACCCAGTCTCTATAATTCATTCTAGTATAAAACTGAGGTTCATACAAAGAACAAAGAATCCCAATGTCCCTACCTTGATCGCATTACAAGAAACAGTATCATCGCTAACAATAAAAGAACCAGCAAGAGTTAAAGTCGTATGTTAAAAGATAAATAGCGACCACTTTTGCGGATTTTTTTTTCTTTCTTTTGAGCGCATACTTTTTGCACACGAGAGTATTATGCACGCTTACTTCATTCCCTTGTGTTTTTATTTTACTTCCATGTATGGGATGTAAATTGATTAGCACTGTAAGTCAGTTTAGTATGTTAAATACTCTCGGCTTTTATATTTTCCTCACTCAGAAATGGAAAAATGCAGTAATTGATAAATACTTAAAAAGTAAACAATTAATAACTTATTTGAATGATGAATGATTATCTCTATTGAACTGTTATGGTTTCATAAAATTGACAAATGTAATTTACAGCCTTGCTTCGAGGTCAAGGAACCAATATTATTCATAGATGAATGGAAATGACGTTGTATGTAATGGGAAAATTATTATTAAAGTCGCCATGTAAAGAGCAAATAACCCATAAAAATATTGAAATGAATGGAAGATTAAATAAGTTTTTTATGGCATGCGGTGATCTTTTTTTCAACATTGATCTGGTTGTTGAGCACTTGGTAGCGTGTTACAGGGTGATAATTGCTATATTATGAATAATGTTTGAGGAATTCACGCGGGGATGGGTTTTTGGTTTTTGAAGGAGATTATAAGCTAGTCAATTAAGGTGTCTTTTACAAATGATGTGACATTTAATCGTGGTCTAGCTCTAAGTGAGAATTTTTTACAAAATAAACAATTTTGTATCGAAATTTAAGTCAAAATGGAGAGAAGGAACGACCCCCAACCATTTTAAATGAAGTTTTCAGATAGAATTCAACGAATTTCATATAAATGCCAAACATTCGAGACTCTTGAGTAGCTAGGATACTCCAAAGCAGGGGCGTAGCCAGGAATTTGAAGAGGGGGGGGCAATTTTTTTTGGATGGAAAACTTTTGGGGGAACTTTTGGGGGGGGGGGTCGAGTTTTTCATAAAAACTCTAGCAAAATGAAGAAATTTCTCAAGACGAATGGGGATTTGACCCCCAAATCCCCCCCGCCCCCCTTGGACACGCGCCTGCTCCAAAGCCATCATATAAACGACTTAATGGCATAGGAATGTAGAAGTCAACTGCCAACATCATGATGGCTGTCTGATGGCTAAACATTCGAGCTTGCTTTAAACTCACAAATTTACTCAAAACTAAATTAAACGCTGCACATTTCCCAACCAACAAACCCAAAAAATTGATAAGGTATACCTTCTTAGAACTGAAACACTATTCTATGCCTATTTTTACAACCCCATTGTTATTCATTGTAATAAAATCCATGAACTATTCACAACAACATAATTGTGTCTTCTTATCGATCAAAAAATATTACAGAATAAATATAAACCATGCACAATCACGGCATACGTGTCGTTTGTTTCTCATAAAGAATTAATAACTTATGCATGTTGGTAAAAGCTGTGGAGATAATGAATTACTTTTTGTTTTAATTGCGTGTTTATTTTTTCAACTTTTTACGACTTGTGCTATTTGTTTGTGAATAGTTTGAATGTATTTGGATGGAAATGAACTGTAATTGTGATGTTTTGGTTCTGATGGATGAGTTTTGTTATTGTTTAAATTGAAACTTAATTTTTAAATGGTTTATTATGACGGATTTTGGTGAACTCTACGCGAATTCTCAATTTTCTTGAGATTCAGTCATGAATTATTATTCTTAAGTGCACGATGAATCACTCATATTGCCAAAATAACAAATTCCATCCACAAAAATAATGCCCATTATCACTAATCGATTGACAAATAACACATTAAGGTAGCACAGATAACTTCCGCATTTCTGATTCATGCCCACATCATGTTTTTCACGTTCGTTTACTTAAATTTGTAATAAAATCGTCATTTGTCTATTACCAATAGATAAGATCGTGTAATAGGCTTGTAATTTGACAATCGTAAGGTAACTTAATACCTTTTTATCTTAAATTTATTGACGTGGTTGTCTATTTGTCTTATTTATTTGAAATAAATTATGATATGGCTGCAGTGTTGGATGTGGAAGTGATGTTTGAGGTTAATATTGTTTGTTTAAATTCTCAAAATTTAAATTCTATTTGTTTTGATTGTCAAATTGATTCTTTTGACAATAATTTCCGTTTGAAATTCAATTCTTTTTGGTTTTAGAACAATTCTTAAAGTACGATTTTAACTGGTCTAGCAATCTAGTGCGATTTTTTGAGAAAATATTATTGGAGATTGAAAAGTTACGTTCAGCTCTTGTAGATGTTGGTGGATTCCAGAAATATTAATTTCCAGCACGTTTTTTTATTTTGGAAAAATTACTTTAATCCAATGTCAATTAAGTTTATTATTTTATAGACATCATACATTTAAAAAATATTTTTAAATACTTTTCTCTTCGTTTTTCATAAATATATGTTTTTGATTTAAAAAA